CTCTCTCTCTCTCTCTCTCTCTCTCTCTCTCTCTCTCTCTCTCTCTCTCTCTCTCTCCCCCCCAAACCTCTTGGGCACACTCATAACTGGGACATCGTTGGACATGTCTGACCCCCACTACCGCCAGATTGACTCAAAAAAGGTCCCACTGTGAGTATGTCCTTGTCCAGCATAAACAAACAGCACTGGAACCGGTATCTCAGCACTCCCTCCCCGCAAAGAGAAGCCCCAATCTATCACTCCCAGGGAAGAACAAACGCGTTGAGGAAAAGACCCTCCCTTAATATCCAGACTGCACAACTTCAAATAATGAACTCACCACCTGCAAACCCTATTTAAGCCCCTCCCTCCCCCGCAAAGAGCAGCCCCAATCAATCACTCCCAGGGAAGCACGAACGAGTCGAGGAACAAACCCTCTCTTAATATCCAGACTGCACAACTTAAAATAATGAACTCACCACCCCAACTGGTGGTCATTTCCGTGAAGCAGACAATTCAATCCACACACCTACCCCGTCCCTCCCACCGTGTACACTCGTCTCTTCTTCACAGTGAGCACTTCTACTGAAATGACCTCACAGTGGTGCCCACTCATTTTTGCCATTGTCCTCATGGCATGGCACTACTCCGCCAAGAGCAAGACACTTTCCTATAATAGTCATGCTGGCTAGTTATGCCTATGGATGATACGCCCAAGGAACGCCCCCGACAAAAGGATGGAGCATTCCAAGGTAACGGCAATCAATCGCCTGCTGCACGACTTCAGATTTGAGCATTTTGAGCATTTTGAGCATTTTGAGCATTTTGAACAACTACCTTTCCAGATGCCGACCATTTTATCTGCGAGCCGATTTGCACTTGACGATCCTCTTTCTATACAACATGATTACGATCATGGCATTTCGACTCCGATTGCAAGAGCAATCCAATTTTCCTTTCGCAAGAAAGGGGGGCGCTCTAAGCCCCGAATATAAGCAATAGCAGCAGCAGCAATAGCAACAGCAGCAGGGGAAGCAGCCAAGATCACATATCAAGGCATACACTCATGCCTTTTATATACCTTAGCTACCACCAGATCCGTCAGTACGACTAGTCAGTCGCAGCAGCGATGTTCGACGTCTCGACAGATTTGTCCTCCGTCGGTCAGTCCCAGTCCTTCCTGATGTCAAAGGAATAGCTGAAGTCCGCATAGCACCTTCCATCATCATCGACAAACTGTGCACGCCCAATAAATGACAGACACAGATATACGCCCACAAAATGTCAATCAGGTTGTCCACCTTCGTATTTCCCCTTTCCTCTTATTCAGGTTATCCCTCCACAAAACCATATGGGCAAATGTTGTAAGGGACACTTGACCCAAAATTGGTATAAAAAAAAAGACGATCAGAGCAAATCGCTAGACGGATGAGATGTAGACGACGGGCATCACTTAAGAAGGGAACTTTCTACACTCAAATCATATCACCGGGAAGCACATTTGCAAAGCCAAGCCCAGCCTAGTAGGGACAGCAGAGAGTACTGAAGCTGAGCCTACCTTAGTAGGGACAAGCATCCCTCAAGAAACGAGTCGGACCTCTCTTCACTCAAATAACATCACCAGGGAGCACATGCCAAAGCCAAGCCTAGCAGGGACGGCAGAGACTAGTGAAGCACAGCCTACAGTCTTCATCCAAATAGAACGCCCGATCACTATCGCTGCATCTGGACTGGTCACTATCGCTGGATCTGGACTAAAAAATGCCCCAAATACGGCTACAATGACCAGGCGTTATATTCAGGTGAAGCACAGCCTAGTGGTAATGGCAAAGAGTGTTCAAGCACAGCTGGTAGTGAAGGCAGAGATCATTCAGCCACGAGTATCCGCATTCTATTCACAATTCTCCGCTGTGCCTGCCCCGCCTGCACAACCGAACCGCCAGCGGCATCAGGAGGTTCGGGGCACAATTCTCCGCTGTGCCTGCCCCGCCTGCACAACCGAACGGCCAGCGGCATCAGGAGGTTCGTGGCTATTGGTGATTCAAACAACAAAGTCACCCTGTATACCAGGGCAAAGGGCCAATAATGTATTGGCGATTCAAACAACAAAGTCACCCTGTACACCAGGGCACAGGCAAGGGGCGACAGTGTTGCCTGTGCTCGTACCAGTGTTGCAAAATGTCTCTTCTGTGCGACAGTTGTCCTTCATCGGTGGCTTAAGCCACCAGTATTTGTGGCCCGTCCCTTGCCGAGCCTGGCAACGACCTGTGCGCCAAACAAAAACGAGCCGCCGCATTTTCCTTTTTGTCTGGCGCCACCAGCCATTTAGCTCTCGCCGGCCTTGCCTTGAAAGTCACACCACGTTAACGGCTGTGCCAGAGAAAAATGGCTGGGAAACGTACTGATGGCTTAAGAGTCTTAAGACACACCACAGACTCAACAGCACCCTGTTCAGTTTCTCTTGCGCACTTCCTTCTTCTCTCCCATCTCCCAAAAGTGTGTTCTCATCTTGGTTAACAGTTCTACTTTCCACTCATCATCACTACTTCACTTTTTTTCACCAACCGCCAAATTTCACATCAACAAACTCATAACTCGCATGCCACACACATCAACACACTCATAATGACCAAGCATTCACTTCAAGGAATGCAGTGTTGTCACTCGCATGCCACACACACAAGCACGCACACACACACACACACCCCTACACTCTCTCTCTCTCTCTCTCTCTCTCTCTCTCTCTCTCTCTCTCTCTCTCTCTCTCTCTCTCTCTCTCACACAC